ACTTCTGTTCTGTTAATTTTATTTGCCATCCAAATTCTAAACTCTATTTCTGACATCTCAGTCATTTGTTTATGAATGAGATCTTTTGGTGTGTCTGCTTTGTCTTTCCTTGGGGGAGTTGATCTACTCTGATTATTCATGTTGACAGAGTTTTTCTGCTGATTCTGCCCCATGATTATTTTTCACTGTTTGGCTAGATGGGCAGGTAAGGTGAAATTGGATTTGGGGCTCCTGGCTACAGCTTTTCCCCCATAGCTTTGCAAAGGACCAGGACAGTACTACATCCTAAGACATTAAACATCTGCTTGGTATGGTGGGGCTAGGTGGTTCTGTCTTGTATTCACTTGGTCTCTGTCTAATCCTAGTGAATCTGTAACTCTATGTAGAAGTCTCAGCTGTGGGGTAATACAATAAACTAAGACACCCTGCCTGCCATGGGCAACAACTGGAAAAGGAAAATCAAAACTTCACACAACAGCACAACCAGGGTACCACCTTGGATGTTTCTCAGATGATTGGCCCAGGTCAACAGTTCCAAATCAGTTGTCCCAGTTAGCACCAAGTCTCAAGTGGTAGAGTTCAAAAGATCTCCAGCAAGTAGATAACAGGGGTCTGCTGGCAGCTTGAGTGTGGCTTGCTCCAGTGTTCTGTGGAGTCAGAATGGCCCACCTAGCAAATGAGTTAGTCTGGGAAGGTTGATGCCTCCTTCCCCACCTTGCACCTCTGTCACATGTGGTCACTGGTAACCTTGCAGGGCTATGCCAGTGGTTTGCACCTGCCTGAGTCACAGGGAGATCTATGTCTCCTCGTCCAGGCTGCCACACTCTGCCACCAGACAGCAGAGGCAGCTGAAGCCTGACTACCTTGGTGCTTAATGGAAGGTGGGGAGTGTCACTCGGTTCCAGCCCTGCCCCAGATTGATGTTACTTCAACTTATATGCTCAAGGAATTTGCATTTCTGTCCCAGGTGTGTTTCACTGCAAGCCAGGTGCTGCTTGAGTTCACAGAAGCTGTGACTCAGCCATGCCCTGTGCTGCTGCCACTGTGCCACTTCTCAAGGAGCTGGCGTCTCTGTCTTCACTGCACTCTGTGTTGGGGTGGACGTGGTTAGAGCTCACAAAGGGCTCTCGGTTCCTGCCTCTCCCTGAGCTGATGCCTCTGCCATGCCTGCTTTTGTCCCAGCTATGTTCCACTGGGGGGCAGGTGCATCTTGGGCTCACAAAAGCAGCAATTCTGACTCAACCCTGCCCTGGGAGTCTGTGCTCTGCGTTCAGGTATTCTAGTTTCCATCTGGCTATGCTCCACCTTGGCAGGTGGAGCATAGCCTCAGGCATAGCCTTTGCTCATGGGGCCTGTGTTTCCGTGGCTGCCACCGGTGTAGAGGCCCTGCTCCCTTGCTAAGAGAGACGGGAAGTGTTTCTCCAAAATATCACTGGGGTGTGACCCCTATTGTTCCTGCCACTGCTGCGCTGTGTCACAGGGCACCGGTTCTCCCTTTTCCATATGGCTCCCTCACACCACAGTCCCTGCTTTATACCCATGCAGCTGATTAAGCACAGACTTATAACAGCCCAAACCTTTTGGACTCTGTGGGGGACAGGCTTCCAGACCTTGGGGTAGGAGTGGAGTGGAGTCCTGGGACTTAAGAATTGCGGGTAGAGTATATGTTCAGTTTTGAGCCTGGTGAGAGAGTGCCCTGGCACACTAGTGGGTCCTCTCTGGGGAAGGAGATCCAGTTTTTAGTAGCTCTCTCCTGTGGAATAGAAAAAGAAGAGATCTGAACTCTGCTCACTTGTTGGTACAAAGTACACTGTGAGCTGTTCTCATGGGGGAGGGCCCTCCCATCTGCTTTGTGATGGATTTTGTACTTATTGTTTACTTGGGGTCACAGCTCACCTCAGCAGGAGTGATGTGTCCTCTTCAATCTTCTCTCTTGGCTCAGCTCCAAACCATCAGCTCTGGACGGAAGCCTCTGTGGAAAGCTAGCTTCAGTCGGCCATATTGCCTCCTCCTCCTCCACTTGCATTTCCTCCTCCTCTTCCGCTTGCATTTCTATTAACTAGACTAACTCTACAACTAATTACGTTAATTGTATGGATTTACTTGCTACTTTTTTATTGTTTTAAGGTATTTATGATCTTAACACCAACACAGTCTTGACAGGATAAACAGGGGCTGACTCAAGAAAAAATTACTAGCTGACCCAGAGTCGCACACCACAGATGTGACAGCCTTGTGTCTACACAGACTCCTCTGGACAAACTAAGGTGACAGAAGGAAAGAAATATTTCATCTCCTTATCTGGTCTGGAGCAAATCTTCCTGTGTTGAACAGGTTTAAAGATTCACTTTCTTTACTCTCCAAAAAGCACTCTCCTGGAGTACACAGCCCCGCCCTGGGAAAGAACGGAGTCAAAGCCTACAGCCTGCAGCCACAAGGCAGCTATGGGGGGAGGGGGATATTCAACATGCCAGGCTTCAGAGTATTAAAATGACAAAGTCATGCACTTTGCACTCAAAGCCAGGAAATTTCTTCTGAATTAATCCCCTATTACTGCCTTCGCTATTGTCCATACTCTGCAATCCTATTTCTAATAATATTTCTAATCTACTAACAATTAATAATTGAATATTGGTTTCAAGCTTATAAAATCTTTATTACTAGTAATGCAAGCACATCAAGATGTGACTCTTTTAAGTATTCCCACATGCACTCTTCAATATGGTAGTTCTATTTTCAGTTTTTTGAGGAAGGTCCATACTGTTCTCCACGGTGGTTGCATTAATGTTATTCATCCATGGTCAGATGGATAGTTTGATATTTTCTCCTGTTCTGTGGGTTGTCTTTTTGCTTGTTCCATTGTTTCCTTTGCTTTGCAGAGGCTTTTCAGCTTGATGTGATCCCATTGGTCCAATTTTGCTTTGGTTGCCTGTGCTTTGGAGGTATTACTCAAGAAGTCCTGTCCAGACCAATGTCCTGAAACGTTCCTCCAATATTTTGTTCTAGTAATCTCATAGTTTTAGATCTTAC